ATGTGATGATGAAGGAATGGACAGTGTAGTTAATATATTCTTTGCTTATAAGTCCCACCGGTTTGTTGGTACCAGTACTTAGTACTGGTCCTATTCTGCTACTAAATTCTGTTTTGTCTGGGGCCTTTGATGCCCGAAGTTTTCAATTTGTAGGTCACAAGCTCACATGCATCTCCTCTGGGGACCATATTGAATATTGACGGGTGGTGGAGTACGGGGCATCTTTCGGCCTTGTTTCTTAACTTTTGTCCCTACGAAAACCATCAATATTAGTATGATGCATTTCACGCCAGAGTATTATTGTAGTGGGACTCCAATATTTTTTCCTTTTTGTTTTCGGACAAAGGCTTTCTTCATTGATAACACAATAGATTACATGAGAGAAAGTCCAAATACAAGAAACACGCAAACAAAAAGATGGACCGCCATAGTAACCCACCGCCCAAACCATAGTTTTGAGGCTTGAACAGGAAAAACACCAAAGTAAACCCTAGCAGCTTCCTACCTCCGCTGTCAACCCGCTTGCCAAATGAACAGCCCTTGCAACCATCGGAAAACAACAAAACTATAGTCCAAAAGCTGGATGAAAATAGAGTAACAACAGGACCCCAAAACAGAGCCCCAAACTCCTCCACAACACACCACAGCAATAGCTGCCACAAATCGAAGGAAGCTAGCAGGACAAAACCCACAGCGCGGAAAATCGCGTTGAAAAAAAGTGGGAGCCAAGCCGGACTGTGAAGTCTGAGAAGGATGAAGCCGATCCGGATTGGGGAACGAGGGGGAAAAGAGGAGGAAAAGGTGGAAAAAAAAAATAAGGGGAAAAGGTGGAAAGAAGGAGAAAAGGTGGAAAGGGTGGAAGGAAGACGAAAGGAAACAGAAGGAAAAGGTGGAAGAAAGGAATAAAAGGGAGAAATTGGAAAAGGGACTGAAGGCAGAGACAGCAGATGCAGAGGGGTTTGAGTGGCAAACAGGCCACTGGACGGGGGTAAAAGGAAGATGAATGAGGATGAAATGCATCAGGAGAAGAAAAAAGAAGAAAAGGAAAAGACAAGAACAGAGCAGAGAAGGGTAAAAGAGAAGAAAATAGAAGAAGAAAAGGAAAAGTGGCAACCGACTCCAGCCGAAGCTGGAGACGGCGCCTGAGAAGGTGGACAAGCTGAAGACCCTCACCAAAGGGAGGGGGAAGAAAACTCTCACAGAGAAGAGAAGGTCCTGTTCTCCAATTTTTTTTTTTTTTGGTAAAAAAAAGAGTTTTGGGGGAGATTGGTTACTCTTACCACCAGTGTTAAGAGCTAGGGCATACTTACAACATTGAGACAGAAGGACTTACGCATGATACCTACATGCCAACTGGTACCAGTATAAATTTACGTAGAAATTTACAGATTGTGCACTAACGAGAACTGCTAGTAGCAAAAACTCGAACTTTGATGAAACAGCACACAAGGCAATACCTTAGGCCATCTCTAATCGAAGGGGCCAAAGGGTCGAAAATAGCACGAAAACCGTCTCCAACCGAGGACTAGGCTAAAGGGCTGTGGAATTTGAAAGGGCTAGAGGGCTAGAAGGCTAGAGGGCTGGCTGGCCAGAAAATATAGCATTCCTAGTCAGCTAACCGTTGTATTCAAAATTTTTTTTCATTTTTTGGGCTAATTTTTTTTTTTAAATTCTTAAAATTTCTAATTTTTTTTCCCTATAAAGACCTAAACCATTCATTAAATTTAAGTTCTAATTGTTTTTGATTTTTTGGGCCAATTATAGTTGTATTTTTTAAATTTAAGTTGTTGGATTTGAATTTAAGTTGTTGTAGTTTTTAAATTTAAATAATAAATTATGTTTGGCCCTATGATCCTTTGGCCCTAGGTTGGAGACGGTTTTTCGTGACAGGGCTAAAATGAGCCCTATGACCTTTTGGCCCTAGGTTGGAGAATGAGGCAAATATGATCCTGTACTGTTTATTAAAATATTAATATCTTGGAGAATCTTGGAGGGGCAGAGGGCTAAAACAAGCCATCTGGCTAGCCATCGGTTGGAGATGGCCTTAACAACTGAGCCAACCCTGTTGGCTTACCCCAAATTTTAAAGGAGGCAGATTCTCTGCCCTCCCACTTCCCGTGCCCTCCTGTTTTGTGTGGTCACGGTTAAGCCACGTCAACATTTTATATTGTTTTATTTATAGAGATAATAAGACAAAAAAGAATAATAATATAAAATGTTGACGTGGTTTAACCGTGACCACACAAACAAAAATGCACGAAAGGGCAAGAGAAGTGTGAGGGTAGAGAATTTGCCTCCAATTTTAAAATTGCTCTAGAAACCATATAATCATTGAGCGTGTTGGGTTCCTTTGCCATAGTAATATAAAATGTTGACGTGACTTAATCGTGATCACATAAACATAAGGACACAGAAGAGTACGAAAAGTTGGAGGGCAGAGAATATGCCTCCAATTGTAAACTTGCTCTAGAAACCATATAATCACTGAGCGTGTTGGGTTCCTTTGCCTGCAGTACTTTTGTTGTGTCCGCTCGTATTTACAAGTTTAACCTAGTACCTCTGCAGCTCTCTCCTCTCACTGTCACCCAATTCCTTTCATTCAGATTTCAGTCTCCAATTTATGACCGTTAAATTTAAAATCTTTAATTCCCACCTTGGCTCCCTAGCAGTCGCTACCGCTAAAGCGCTCTGAAAAGCGAAAATCTCTGCTTTCACAAACCAAATCCCCATCAAAATCACAAATGGGTTGTTGTCTCGGCACCGCCAAGACCCCAAAACCTCCCCCTCACCACCACCCAAATGGCCCCAACAACCGCCACGTCCACGCCAGATCTTCCCTCGCGGATCCTGACCCGAACCGTATCCCGAAAACCCAACTCAGAGCCGCAGCACTGCCACTACCGGTTGTTGAAATCGAAGAAGAGTCGGTGAAAGAGGTTCTCTCCGAAACCCCCATTTCAAAACCCCAAATGCCCAAAATAACCCCAGAGAAGGACACTCGTTCGCCTCCGAAACTCCAGTCTGAGCAGCCGCCAAAAGAGCTCGCCGTCACCGTCGCCGTATCCGCCAAGCCTTCTCAGGCTTCGGAGCCCTGTGGGGTCAGCGTCAGCGAAAGCTATTCGTACTCGACGGCGACCACAGCCACCACCATTACGGAAGCCAGAGACGACGAGGCAACGAGTAAGCGGAAGAAGGATGTAGGTCCCAGAGTGAAAGGCGCTTCTTCAACCGCGGCGCGTAGTAAGCGCCCTTACTCCGGCGACCTCGCCGCCGGGAAGGAAAGAGCAGCCAGACCTCTGGCAAGGGCATCGGACATTTCGATTGCGAAGAGAAATCGCACCGAAACGAGTTCGTTTCGAGGGTGGGAGTCAGGTCAGCTGCGGACTATGCAGCAGCGCAGCGTTGGCCCCACCGGAGTGAGGCGGGATAGGGTGTCGTCCAGGTCGAGTTCACCGGCTACCCGGACGGCCGGTGGAGTGGGTCGAGGGGGCAGGGGAAGAAGCCCGTCGGCGTCGAAGTTGACTGGACCAGCCGGTGGTAGTTCTTCACAGCTGGGAGTGGGAGTTGAGAAACAGAGCAAAACTAGAAAGGAGGATGAACCAAACAGCGCCGTCGTGGAGCAGGGGAATGAGGAGGAACCAAACGGCGGCGTTTCACAGCAGGGGAATGAGCCCTCCATCGACAACCCTCTGGTTTCGTTAGAGTGCTTCATCTTCGTCTAAAGTTGATTCTTTACTGGTTGCATTTTGTCAAAAGTGCTTTTCTTGTTTCTGAAAGTACTGTGGAATTAAGCACTTTCCTTGCAAATGTTGGCAAAACATGTGTTGCTTTCTTAAACAATGGCAAATTGGGTTTTGCTTTCCGAAACAATGTAAATTCTCTGGAAAATGGTATAAAGATCGAGTCTTTTATCTAAATGTTGTTCAAGTTGCTCTAGCATCTTAATTTTGTGTGAATTAGTTATGAGCACCCTTCATTTGGAGAGGATCTTGTGTACGACAGATGCCGCATTCGGTCTCTCTGTCAATCGGATGAGACCATGGGTAGGAACGGAAGAAAAGGAAATACGAAAGTCTCTCTTTCTATGTGTGGCCGGGCAGCACATGCTCCGGCGGACCTACCTTAGAATTTACAAACTACAAACAATGACAATGTTGCTGTTCTTTTTTCCCATTGTTGTTGTAATTTACTTATTTGGCTTGTTTTTTTCGTGTGGTTGTTTTTCAAATGTTGAGATTTGCAAAATTGTGCGGGGATGGGTTTGTCCTGGAATATTGGTATCTTCGCTTGGAATGGGATGGGTTGGGAAACCTTTGAATGGATACAAGCTTCCAGCATCCCACTATTTCGAGGAAATTTCCTGTCCTTCCTCGGTTTTTCTTCATTACTTGACCACATTAAGTGAAATTTCCCATCGTTAGAGTGGTACATTCTACATTGCTCCATCTCTCTCGGAGTGGAATGTTCTACTCCGAGCATAAACGTTACCACTTTTCACACTATGTACCGCACTTGGTGCATTCACACAATGAAGGAAAATGGGTCATCGCTTTCAGGAGTAGTGTTGTTTTGAGTTTTGAGTAGGAACTCCTACTGAAAACTCTTTGTGTTCGAATCATGTGATCAAAAGCGTTAATACTACGATTACTCTGTAAACATCATCTCTACAAAAAAATGAATTAAAACTAAGGTCGTTTGGTCAAGTTATCGTAGCAAATACATAGACGATTCGTAATGTTTTTACCAATTCCGTTCATCTGTTTTTATACAATTCGATGACTAAAAGACCTTAGTTTTAATTGACTATTTGCAGATGCGATTGTTATAGAGTGATTTATAAAATGAAAGATTTTGATCATAAACACGAAGTTCTATAAATCGGGAAAGAAATTTTTTGATGGGAACTCCTACTCATCCTTTTGAGTAGCCAAATACTATTCCTTACTTATTAGATGATTATTTGATATTTAGATGTAAAAACCAAGAAAATCCATTTGAGATGACAGCCAAAGCTTTATACATATGATTGTTGTAGTGCTGATGAGTTTGGTTCCTGGCTTCCTCCTACGTTCAAAACACTAACGTGGTAGTCAACCAACCCAAATTCAATCATATGTCCGGAACTAAAAGAAGTAACGAAAACTAGGTTTGGTTGCCGGTATCCATGTCTTGCTTCGGCTTGCAATTTAGCTGAAGACGGAACTGAAGCGTGGTTTGTGTTGATGGAGAGGCCAAGCGATGCGCTCTGGCTGGCACGGTGCAGGAGCAGGATGTGCAATGAAGGTAGGCATATCTTCTCCAGGCATCATCACAGACACTTCTCTGGCATAATTTCTCATCTGCACAAATTTAAAACAAAACATATTATCAACCGAGCAAATATGTTTTAGGTCAGAGTTCGATTCCCTCCAATGTAACTAAAATAAACCTTTGAGACATTAAATGAAGAAGTCAGAAGGAAGGAATCCAAATGAATCAGTAAAATCAAAGAGGGTCCTGATTAAGGAAGATACTTTTCTGGCGTGGTTGGTGGCTTTTAACTTTAAAGATTCAAAAGCAGCATGCTGTTCATAATTTAATGAAAATTATTATAAAACAAGCATTTTTAATTTTCGATATGCCCTTTTCAAGTAGGTTAAGGAAAAGTAAATTTATAAAAAACATTCCTTTAATTATATACGTTCCAAAATACTAACCCTCTCCACAAATCAAGGCTTCCTAAACATAAAAAATATCCAAACTTCCCTAAACTTTCTAAAACGCTCAATGTCACGCGGACACGTGGTAAACGGGAAGCGATTAAGATATAGCTTAAGTCAAGATTATAATTGCAGAATTCAGATTAACAAAAGGGTTAAACTTGCCTGTTGTTTTCGAGATCACAGAAGGCATAAACATACGTCATTGTAGCATGTGATTAAGTTTGCCATTCCCATGCTTAATTCGGGGTGAAGGGTAGTAGCTTAAGGTAAAAAACAAGTTCTTGTTGCTAATTGATGGATCCTAGTATGTATCTGCCAATTTACCTAACCAGCTAGCTATTGCTACGATTTCGAGTATTTAAATTCAAGGGATGTGAATTAGGGCTAAAACTTAAGTGCAACATGGTGCATACTTTATGTGCCTATTTCTCTTTGATTGTCATGTGAGGAGAGAGATATAAGTGCAACATTGTACTCTATCTTTCTTCTCATGTGATGGATCAGCGTCAAAGAGACAATCCCGAAGGATTAAGCCGAGTGGACAAAGCATTACAAACCTTAATTATGAAAAATGGATTAAAATGATCAATTTTTTTAGTGATTTAATTAAAAATAAAATCACAAGATTTTGGATATTAATCATTAATTAAGTAGAGCATAAAACCATCCCAGGTGACCCAATGTTTGGAGATGAATTTTAGACACGTATTTCACACTGCATGTCCTCAGTTCGATTCCTAGGAGAGTGTGAATCACACAATGGTGGCCATGAGGAGGCTGAAATGCCTCAGTGAGTCTTCCCGGCACCCAAAAGAGTGGACTGCCATGACAAAATCACCAGTCCCTTTCTAGAAAAAAGGAGAAGTAGAGCATAATAATGCAGACCCTATGAAATCTTAAATGTAATGCAGCCCACTATTGAAATTGGAAGCTCCAAATAACACCCTGTCATCTTTGCTGGTTGTTTTTAAATCACTAAACTAAACCACCAACTCCTCAATTAGGTTAAGCGCCTAAATGCTAATAATGCACACAAATGAACAAAAGGAAATTTCCACGATCCCTTTTGTCTCGTGCACTCTTTCGTTTCATTTCGAACTCTTGGACTGAACAAATTAAAAGAGAATTACGAGAGAATGATTTCGTAAGAAGAAAACTTAAATGTGAAATCACTATCCAAAGAAAAAACAGTGGGTTTTTCCAATTTTGGCACAATCTCGTCAAATTTCACACCTATAACTATAAGCGCACCCCATAAAGAAGTAAGTGAAAAAAGAAAGCCAGACAAACTTTTGATCAAACTACTCTAATTCACAAGAAGAGTGATTTGTAGTTTGGCTGTAAAGGAGCCGGGAACACGTTCCCGTTCAACTGTGCTAACCCACGTCTGCGGTAAAAACAACTAAAGGGGAAGAAAAGAAGATAAAAAAGCTTACTTTGTGAGAGTTGTGGCGATCAAGCTTGGAATCATTGTTGGTAATCTGTGCCTGAAGATCCAAATGAGTAGTAGCAGCAGTCCGAGCTGAAGTGGTCAGCTGTGATGATCTGGGCCTGAAAAATCTCTCAAAAATAGCCATGACGAGAAACATTGAGATGAGGATAGCAGTTGCTACAAAACCTAAAGAAACTGCATTCACTGAGTTGTTGAAGTTCCTCCATTGCTCCTCTTCTATCTCTGTATTTACTGGAGCTAGAGCGATGCCTTGCCACCTATCTTCACCGCCCATTAGATTCAGACCGAAACCTCGGAGAAAAACCATTGAAAAAATAGGGAAACTCGGTTGCGCATTTCTTTCATGACATACTGATATGTAAAAAAAAAAAAGCAGACAGGAAAGAGAGAGAAACAGTGAAATGGTTGGAGGATAAAATGCCTATGGAGTCGTTTGGTTTTATGGGATAGTGGATTTTTTTTTTTTTTTTCCTACAGAATTATTAAATATGAGCACTTGTTTTGGGCCAAAGTTTGTGATCTTGTATCTTTGTATATTTTATTAGCTATTCAAACCTAACAATTTCTATCGAGTCATCCGATAAACCAAACGTTTTTTTAAATGTTTTTTTTTCTAAACGAGCGATATTTTATTCTAAACTATTCTAAGTTATAGGAAGTCACAAATACATTTCATAGAACTTCAATACATAATTTCAAGCTGCAACAACAATTGAAATTTGTAACAAGAGTCCTCCATAGCTTCAGCTAAAGTTTTCAAAAACTCAAGTTTACAACAATCAAAGATATACTCAAGAAAGTCTACCGGCATTTCAGATAAATTGTTACATGCCCTCCAAAAAAAGAGAAAAATACACCAGCACTTCAGAGGCCTCAGACACCTCACCGAAACTCGTTACTGAATCTGTTCCTTTTCTTAAAGAGAAACTGCATCGGCCTTATCCAGCAAGAGAAGGCTCCTTTAAGAATCAACAGAGCAATATGGTCCACAGATCTCAAGACTTTTCATTTGTTTGCTCACAAGGTTTAGGGAAACAAGTTCAGGCTTTGATATATTGCTCTCGATGTAAAGCTGCCTGCCTCCTCTAAGAAGCATTACTAATACTTCACCATTCTTTCTAAAAACATAACGCCCGAGGAAAAAGTTTTTCTGGACCCTGTGGACCGAGACTAATCAATTTGCTTCCCGACTCCTTCACGCCATACTTCTTCATCACCCATATTTCAAGATAAAAATCTTTAGAATCGGTATTCATCACAAATAGAGCTATAGATTTTCTATCTCCCGAAACAGACAACAACAATCCCAATGTGTAACTCCATACACTCGTTGGCATCGATATCTTGCAAAATAACTCATTGCCGACGTCAAAAGTCAATATGAAAGGATCATCGCTTGCCCTACTTACTGCAGGCCAACGAAGAACTCCATTAAAAAAGACCTGTTTTCACTCCATATGTTGCACACTGAGGAGCAACCGAACCAAGACTCTTCCACGAGGCAGTGGCTAGTGAAAAAACTTCAGCCATGGTTGGACCCATAAGTTTATTGTTAGGGGTAACAACTCCAACGACCTTATAGTCAGCTGTCATAGCATCATAACCGAATCCAATAGCAGCGTCAAACCTGCTGTTATACATGGGAAAGGTAATACCAGGGCTGGGAAGGATCACTGACTTAAGAATAAATGGGTTCCATAATATGAAGCTTTTACCAGAACGCACAATATCATCCGCCAAGCATACCAGCCCATTACAAATGCCGACAATGTGCAAATATTCACTGCCAATTTCCTCCTTGAGAGTAATTGGAAATTCTATCTCCGAGTACTCGTTGAAAGCCTGGTTATCATACTGCACAGAAAATACCTCTTCTCGTATTTTGGACACAGACTGTTGTGTGGCGATGGGTTCTAACAGAAGTTATAGAACGATCAGAAACACTGTGGTGTAGGAGGAGGTGAATGTCATTCTGTTTGTTGAAACGGATTGCTCGCCTTAAGGTGGGACTGAATAAAGCTTTGATTTACGATCACGGACCTCCATGGCTTGCACACCGAGGTGCATTGGATCAAAGATTTAATGGGTAGTCTAAATAGGATATCATGGGTTATTTCCCGAGGAAAGGAGTCCAAAATTGCTTCAAATTTCTGTTTCCTTGCTTGACAAGGATCGACAGTGAGAGATAGACTTCAGTTCTGTAGATCAGCAGATGGTGGTGAGGTAAAAGAAAGGTGTGAGCGGAAATACAAGGCTTATACTAAATTACTTAAAGAACAATCCAATTAACTACTCAAGCACTACAAAGCTATTACTAAAAAACTAAAAATGCAATACAAAAACACTGATCGTACAGCCATGGAACTCAGAAGTTCTTCTAAAATGATTAGATGCAATACTGCTAATTACTAAAACAAAGTAAACGGAATCATTTTAAAGTTCGAAGTTTAATGCATTGAGTCATTTTCAAGTCCCTGCATTCCTAATGAATTTAGCCCAAGTTCCATGAAACTTTAAGGTCCTTCATCCAAAGTAACACACCATAAGTGTGTGTTTGGAGTCTTTGGACGAAGTACTTTAAAGTTTGATGGAACTTTACTGATAGGGATTTTACCACACATGCAAACGGGTTAAAAATTCCTGTATTGCTTGCAAGAATGACAAGGTTGTTGTAGTATAAACTGTTCTCGCAAGGTCGTTCTCCACATGGATTATTAAATAATTCGAAACAAACCAAAATCCAATTAATTATTGTAAAACAGAAAGTTGAGATGATTGATTTTATAACCTACTTAAATTAAAACGAATTTAATTAATAAAAATAAACTAATCTGCAATATTAACGATGAAGGGGAAAGAAAACAGTTTTGGACAAATCAAATTAGGAAAGCACTAGGGTTCCACCATCACCTAGCAATCCTATATATTTTTACCAATTACTTATGATTTACACATGCCACTTTGAATGTTAGGTTTTCCTAATTTATATTCTACTTGGAACCTCCAACATAGAACTTATATCTAACATGCAACCTGTCCGGACGTTCAGATCAAATCTTAACACGAGAGACTCATTATGCTTTATGAAAACCCTTTGAAAAACCATGCAACCCTTAGGACGTGGTGTTCATCTTAAGTGAAATTACAATTATTAATCACAAGAAGCCAGCGCCAATTTCAGAGAACCTTCCGACCAAAATTGCATCAAATTACTTTTCTAAATATCCTAATGGTGATCAGGCATTAAGACAATTAGATAGTTTTAATCACAGTGATTAGTAATTCAAAGTGCACATGCAATCGATCATAAGCAATTAAAAAAAAATTACAATATTCATGCTAAGGCTTAAGGCTTCGCCCTAGCAAAAGGAATTAGTTATGCATATTTGTAATTGAACGGCAAAGCAAGCGTATGGAAGACTAAGAACGGCAAAGTAATATATTTGCTAAGCCATCGCACAAACCCTAAGACATAGGTCGCTTATTTCAACTAGGAAACTAAATAATAATAAAATATCTTAGAAAATAAAGCCTTAATTAAACTAGGAAAAACTGCACTGAAACTGTCCAGCTACGTTCTAGCCTCAAATCTCCTCCAAATCCGGCCCATAATAGCTTATTTTGAAGATTAGGATGTTTTGAACACATCTCCAGAAGGCCACGAACCCATCCGAGGTCATCTTGGGCTCCAACAACGCTATTCAAGCCCACAACGTCACTGTTCCAGCACCGTGCATCATTCCTTTAATTTATTGCCAGAAAATAACCGCTTAGTAGAAAAATCTGATATTTTGATACGGTCAAGCTAAGTGACTCACAATCGTCCTCCAACTGGAATCACTCCAAAATTCGTCCATTTGGCCATGTTTTGCTCCAGAAGAAGTTGAAAGTTCTATATTGGAAATACAATTCAAAGTATCAAAATTCTTTCAAAATATTAACCAACATATACTAAGAATAGGGTAAAATATATAATATGAAATTGACTCATCATTTACTTCACAAATAATAGGATTTAAGGGAGGGGAGTTGCAAAGTGAATGGTTTTTGCTAAAACGATGGGATTGAACTATGGAACTTGAAATGATCACATGATCGCATGCTATTTATAGTTTTTTACCTTTAGTGTGCGTACTTTGGAATCTTCTTTCCAACCTTTAGCTTCTTCTTGCCTGGTGCCTTCTCTGCGATTCTTGGAGGAGCATTAAAACACATGTCTGTTTTGTAGACGTAAGAGATGAGCAACATAAGAACATCCGTCTTGTATCTTTGTGCTTTTTCTAACCCATCAATTTCTTTTGAGTCACCCAAATAAAATACAAAAAAGGATACATTTCTTTATTTCTTTTGAAAAATTTCTATCCGACCGGCCGTAGACGGCTTTAGAGAGAACTGTGTAGGACCTCAGGTTGGGAAGGAATAAAGAGCCATAAGGAGTCTTGTTTTTCTGTGTGGTTGCATAGTTATTTGGTCCGATGAAGTAATCTACATTTTGTGATTTTTCTTAACACGTTTTCAGTCCCTAAAAGTTTTACGAACTACAAAGTTTGCCCTAAGGCGAGACGAATTTTAAATTGTACTGTATTTGGTCCTTGTATGGTTTGCAAACCGGTTTAGTCCGAGGACCTCATGTGCAAAAGGCCTTTTTCTAATGCTACGTACCATTCACACATTTTAAACATATTTATATGCGTGGATTGCTTCACTTATTTGTTATTTCATTATTTTCTTTATTTATGAGACATATTAGAAACCTAAAAGAAAGGCGATCATCATATCACATAATATAGTGAGAAATTTAAAATTTACAGAAGTTAAGGGAGAGTATTTGTGATAGAATTGAAACATTGTTTGTATGCAATGAGACAAAACCCCAAATGAAGGAAAAATAGATCCTAACATTCAGAACAATATATTTAAGAAAAAAGAATGAATTTTTGCTCATCATTGTCGATCCTTATGTAGAAATTGCAATCGAACATCTTTGTTGTCGATCTTTTAAGTAGAAATTGCAAAAGATAATGAATTTTAGTTCTTAAAAAAAAAAGAAGAAAAAGAAAAAAAGAAATCATACTAATATAAACAAAATCAAAATTGAAACGTTAACCAGAAAAACACTGAAATGTCAATCAATATATAAGAAAAGTAGGTAAGGTCGTGAAAACCTTTTATATGTTGCTCCTATCATTTCCCTCCATACTCTTACATAAAAAACATACTAATTTATTTGACAAAGAAAAAAGAACATAAGGGAAAAATTACTGTAACAGTTAAGTAACATATGAAAGTGATATTAATCATAAAAATCATGTCCTCAAATGTGTATTCATCAATTTAATCAAACTACGGTGAACAGCACATAATTAAGTCTTTTTTTTTTCCTTCATGTTTTTTATGTGCAACAACACGGTGCATAATGAATATACTTTGACTGAAGGGTTAGAATATATTTGCATGTATATGTTGCATAATATACATGTAATAATTTCAAGTACTTCATCTAATAGCTAATAATGACAATTGACATGTCAAAGAGGTGAAAGAGTTCAAGAGATTAAGACATTTGAAATTCACCGATGGAGCTGGAATCGTCTTTGAAATTAGAAAGCTAGAGAATTTGTCCTCTCTGAAGAAATTAAGAAGTTCGTCTCTGAAAGTTGCATCACCCTCCCTGAAGGTCCTATGGATAACTATGAACGTTTTCAAAGCTACCTGCCAATGACAAACACAAAAATAATACAACAAAGTTTAACAGGAATCAAACATATGTATATGAAACGGTAAGCATAGTAATCCATAAGATAATGATGAGTCATATATAGCCAACAAGAAAAGTATCATATAAGTGTTGCATCGTCCCATGTAAATTGGGATTTTGTAACTGAACAATGCAGCGGCGGTGATAAAAATTTATGGAGTTTGAAAACTGAACGGGAACTGCTATGCATCCAAAAACTAAACGCGCCGAATGCCGTGATTCTTTCTTCAATGTAATTATTTCTTTTCTCTTCCTTTTTTTTTTTTTTTTTTTTTTGTCAAACGATAAATTTGTGAGATTAGAGAGCCGATGGAGTTTGAACTCACATTGTGGTGTAAGGGCAACACACATCTCCATCACTATGGTAGAGGGCCACTTTCAATTCTTTTTTTTTTGAACATAGTGTATTTTTTTACCGAACATGGTGTTTTTATTGTAGTGGTTTTCCTCTTTAACTAAAATTCTTCTTTTATTTTTTTTAGGGTTCCAATAATTTGGATTTTTAATTCTGTTTTTATTTTAGTTTTTGTCACAAAAGTGTACCTGCTATTTTGTTTCTATTATTTTTAGTCTGTTGTAAAATTTTTTTGTTTTAGGGGCATTGTTGTCCAATTATTTTTAGTGAAGGTTGGGACACCAAAGTTGGCTTCTCACATTCTAGTAGTAAAGACAATTTGAAGAAATTATCGTTTTTATCCTTCACACGTAGGAATGTATATACATTGCATAAGCACAAGAACTCTACAAAGAAATTGCCGACATTAGATAGAATTAAACTTTATTTCTGAGCCAAACTAATGATTTCGACATGTAATTTCAGAAGAATTTAACCCGCCATATGCACTTTTGCCAAATACAATAATGTTGCTAATCAGCATATGCAGTACTGTAAACCCTTTTAATGGTGCATAAGTTGAGAATACTTAGGAGCACCTTGTTGCTAGTGCACCTAGGGGTCTTGAATTGGCTCAATGTCGATCCATTTCCTAAGAAATGTTCCAAAATTTTCTTGAACGTTCCCTTCTCCACAATTCGAAGCTCTAGAGGTCCGATCGAATTGTTTCGCCTTGAGACAACGTAACCATGATCCACAAAAGATGCATCCATTTCTCTGCAACATTCACCAAGGAGCCTCTCTTCAACTTCCCCCTTGATCTCCCAGTATATTATGTAGTGGCCTGGTTGGGTCAGCACATCAGCATGGCTTGTGAAGTCAATCAGTTCTGCTTTGGAGCTGCTCAACAGTTGAGACCCTCTCTCCACCACTATTTGAAGGTCCTTTTCAGTGTTTTTGTCTATGTTTACTGTCAAAATAAGCTTTCTCCTGCATATAAAGTTCAATTTTGGAGTCCCATTGTGGAAACCTGCCACTTCCACCACATCTCCTAGCCTGTACCTATAAAGTCCTGAAATATAGAGAGAGAAAATATATAAACAAAAGCAATTAACTGAATTCAGATTCAGATTCAAGTACATAAAAACGAGAACAACTAACTGAATTAACGCACATTTGTAAATTCTAGTACTTTTTGTAGGTATAGACTATATAACCAAGAACAAGATTTGCTTTTATGTCCATCTACTTTTTTTTAACTTCGGTACAAACTCAATTACGATCATTACATCATGCAGACCTACTAGGGTTCTAGAAAGTTTTTGACCATGATATTATGGTCTCAATTTTGTCCACGTATCCGCTCTAAGTTTAGAAAGTACCCAATTAGTTTCCCAAAAAAAAGAAAAAGAAAGAAAGTACCCAATTTTTCCAAATTGCAACTTGTGGGCAAGTGTCAAGGGAAAGGGACCAGATATTTCCAAGATTGCTGCTGATCTGCAAATAATCGACAGTTCACATCTGTGTGTTCCTCCATCAAGGTTTGGTTTGTTGTGGGATAGCATATAGCAATGATCGATGCTTAAACATGTCCAGTTCAAAGTTCTAAACTATTAAGGATGGTAAAAAAGATTCATCAACAAACCTAAAAAGCACCCACTTCGACTTAAGTTTTAGCATGCAAAATTTGACTATGGGGAATAATTTTCACACACCCATGCAAAAAATAAATAGGTGTGAGTAAGAAATAAAAAGGGTGTGTGCAATAGTGACTACTTACCAGTGATAGTAGTGAGGACAATCTCATACTCTTGTCCAACCTTGACTTGTGACAATGGGACTGGTTTATCTTCTATGAAATCATCCATGACCAAATTGTAATCTTGCTTCTGTCTATGAAGTGGTATGAACTCAAAGTAGGAAAAAGTTGGCACCACTGCAAATGTCACATCCTCTGGAGGCAAACAAGGATCCACATTCACCCCAATCCAACTCTCAGTTGATCCATATTCTGCACTTACTAGCGGCACTTCCGCTGCATATCGCAGGAGTTTTTTCACATACGGCTGCATTGATCCTGTCATTATAGAGTACACATACTTGGCATTAGGCCAAAGCTTTGGAATTAGACCAAACCAATCCAAAACCTCCAACTCCCTGCAGCAAGCTTCTATTTTCGAAGCTAGAATTGGGTTTGGCGAGATGATACCCAAGACAGCTTTTCTCACTTGCGGGAGATTGATTCGTTTACTGAGAGTGCCATCTCGAATGTCAATGTACAACTCCTTCCAGAGCTCTTCGAAAGCTATAAAGGACTGCACTATGCTGTAGGCAAAGGCAGAGGTAATGAACTCTACTTGCTCAGAGAAGAAGAGGCCGAGGAGGAGGTGACAATAAGTCGATTGCTTGCTGTCACCACTCGAAATGACCTCTTCGGGGCTGCAAGTGAATGACTTGGTTTTTTCTTGTTTGATTTTGAATTCCGGGCTGGCATAGTAGTGAGTTGTGGCTGTTCCTGCTGTTAATCCTCCCTTGGTTTTGAATTGTCTACTGCTGTATATGAATTCAAGGATCCTTCCTCCTTCCCTCGTCGGATAAACCCTACGATCAAGATGAATAAAGTAAAATTAAAGAGCCACGGTTATATAAGTTTTAATGATAACTAACTAGTACTGTTGAAATATAGTTGTAAATATAAAGGTTTATAACTTCATATAAACATGAAAATCTGTAATAGTAGGTAGCTAAATATATAATAGTCTAATGAATTGAGATAGTACTGGACTGAAATTTAAGAGAAAGTTTAAACCTTGATCTATAAGCTGCAGCCAGCCTAAAAATTTGAAGAGTGGTCTGTGAACTGTGGCGCGTAAATGGTACGTACTTCTGTCTTCCTTCAGTGGTTCCAGAACTAGAAAATAAATGTAACCAAAGAAGACCATTAGACCCTTCAACAAAGTGAGAACATATACAGGTAATGGTTTTATTCGTCAAATCCAATACAAAAAAAAAAGTTCCGTTTTATTCGAGCGATATTCTAACTTGATACAAACTACGTGGATAAATATTCGAAGTATATATATTTATTTTAATATAGTGGGAAACTGGGAATAATTTGAAGCATATCTCAAGTTTTATGAATATAAGAAGCTAACCTTAAGGAGAGAGTAGTCATAGGCTGTTTTGTGAGAATGGGGCCTGAGTCCCCATTTGCAATTCTTTGAATGTAAGGTTCTAAATCTGCATGTGAAGCAAGAGGCACCAAGGAAGTGTAGAGTGATTCCAACACACATGCATCTACCTCTTTGATTTCGATGTCCCCCAACCATTTCTTGAGATATTCCACTTCGAAGTTCAGCTCAAGTATCTGCCGGAGCGTCTGCGTTTGAACCAAGCCGGCGTTCTCCGTCACGTCCTCAAACCACCTAACCATATCATCTTCTCCACATACAGATGGTTCCATTGGAGAGGTTTTGTGGCTGCAGGGTATTCAGAGGAGGAAATAATATTGCAGGTATAAAAAAAAAATAAAAAAAAAAATAAAAAAGGAACAATGTCGTTACAACTTCGATTTTTTTTTTTTTGGGGGGGGGGGGTGATGGGGTGCACTTAATTGGTAGCAAGTACTGTATGAATGGATTATAGCAACTTATCTATGGAGTCTTTGTCGTTTATTCAAAAACTCAACCAATCTTCTAATGTTGGTTGCACAACTCTCACTTTCCACTCCTCAATCGATCTTAGAGTTGTAGGATAGTTTTGTAAACCACAAGACATACATAGTATCATCCTTTTCTTGGTGGTGGTGGGGGGGGCGAGAGAGAGAGAGATAGATTCTTGTACGAAATGATATGGTGACAAGAGTTGCCAGGGGACCAAGGGCAATCAGCAATATAGACAGCTTGGGCCACGGCACCATGCTCTAGCTATTTTCCCTCCAATTATTAGAAGGATTTTATTACACTGGGGCAAAGAGATGGGGGGACACTGAATCAATTATCTCGCACCGAGGACATATTCTGTGTGTGTCTCACTCATAATGAGTAAATCTAACATAATGATATATATCGGTGAATATATAGGTGATATCGAAGATTTTCTCAGATATGGCATGAGGCTAAAAGATGAACACCCGACCTACCTACCATGACAACATTGATCAAATCTATAAGGGAAAAGGATCTTTTTTCTGAGGATCTTAAGGGTCCTGTGATCGTGACCGTTCATCGTACATCATGCGATCAGTTTTTGTTAGGTACTATTTATATTTAATTTAAAATTTTAAATTTTGAAATAATTTCTGACTCTACGATGAACGGTCACAATCGCGGGATCCCTAGGATCCCTAGGAAAAGAATCCGACGAGGATCATTTTCCAATAAGTCCCTCAAATCTACTATAATCAAGTGGATTTAGATCCTCTTTTGAGCCCAAGGAGAGGATCCTCTTGATTAAGACACGTAGACCGTTGAATTTTTATCCAAATGCTACAAACAGGGAGGTCCCTTTAAAGTTATAATAATTATAGCCGTTGGATAAAAATCCAATGGCCTACGTGTCTTGGTGAGGTGGATCCTCTTCTTGGGTTCAGGAGAGAATCCAAATCCTAATCAAGTAGTTTAATGTCACTCAAACAAGTATATATTATCAAATCTAGGGTTTAGAGTTCCCTTCTAGACAAGCTAGTAGCCAACCCACATCTACTAGGCTAGAAGACTAAGACAAAACAATTTAACTTCATGAACGGAAAGATAATCATGCATTTTTTTTCAGTTATTTCTTCGCTTAATTTTTCATTGATTTATTCAATTCGATCCTAAAATTAAAGTGTAAAAATCACTTTCCAACAAAAAAAAAAAAGAAAAGGCATTTGCTTGGAGTAAGTATTGTTTGATATCACAATTCGAACCACTTTCCATAGAGCAAAAGGCTTTGTCCATCCAAAAACTAGAAAATAAAATTAAAAAAATGGCATCCAAGTTTTTTTTTCTTTATATTCCGCGATTGTCCTTTCATTTGTTCATCCAAAAACTAGAAAATAAAATAAAATAAATGATAAGGGGAAATAACAAATTGGAAATACGAAAATCACTTCCTGCAGTGGTGCAGATTATGGTGAAGTGTCCCACATTCCTTGGTAGATAATCCATAAATGATCCCCTGCCTTCAAGGTTTTAAAAAAACGCTAGACACTAATCGAGCGCTGATAGGAGCCTAGCGCCTTGGCAGCTAGACGGACGTCTAGGTGGCCTAGATGGATTTTTGTAAATTTATTATATATCTTGTAAATAAATGCCTAATTACACTTAAAAAAAAACTACACTTGTATGGATAATAAACAAATAAAAAAATAAAAAAATGCAAAAATAGAAGTAGAAGAATACACAAAGTACATCCATCCAACAAGTTCAATATTTAAAAAACAGTAAGCATATAATCATAATGAGGAGTATTCTTAGATGAAAGACTAAATTCTTCTTGTTCTTGATCATTGCATTAGATTGGACATAGACTAAATTATTTAACCTTGTTGTATCTAGTTTATTTCTTTTCTTTGTATGTATCCCCTCAAAAGCGCTCCAATTCATTTCACAATTGGATGAACTTGTAGTCAATCCATCATTTGCAAATTAGGTACATTATTTCCATAATTATACCACAATGAAACTAAAAAAGAAAAAAGCACACAATTAATAAAAAAACAAAAACAAAAAACAAAACCGCCTAGGACCGCTTAGCTCTAGACCGATTTTTCAAAACGATTTGTCCTCAATTGCAGCGGGCCTTCACTATCTAAGCGCCTAAATGCTGTCTAAACCAATTTTTAGAACACTAACTGCCTCCTAAATGTGTTTATGCTTAAGGCGGTTTATATCTTCGTCAACATGCCCAATTTTTGTAGCTTCATTTTCTCCATGTCACATCACTAGTTCTGGTTACGTGCACAATTAAAAGTTGGTCCAAATGATAATGTCTAGAAACCACGATTCTTTTTCTGATCATGTGGGGGTTTTCAATTTTGTGCTTTGATTTCATGAGATTTGAATCACGTCATCTGTAAGATAATTCTCACAAATTATAAATTTCTCTATCTATTGCTCTCACCCAACTGTGCACCCGATTCCACTTGATATGGAATCAATGATTAGTTAAAAAGGTGCTAACGAACTTTGAGCATTTGATAAAATCTCTTGGTGTAGTACTCAGCCTAAAGTTTCTTTGTGATTTAACATGTAATGTTTACTTTGTTGCCTTTCACTTTATCTCTTCGTTCATGATTAGGCTCAAAGTACAATGCTATAATCTGCTTCCCCCAACCCTATTACAGTTCTTATCATGTTATAATTACAGGAGGTGGGTCTGCCCTTTCATTTTCATACATTTTTCATACCCTCCTGTTATGTGTGATCATAGTTAAACCATGTCAACATTTTATATTAATTTTTTTTATAAAAATAATAAAACAAAAAGTAATAAGAATATAAAATGTTGATGTGACTTAACCGTGACCACACAAACATAAAGGTATGAAAAGAGTATGGAAATGAGAAGGCAAACAATTCACCTCCATAATTACAAATCCTAAGTGACAGTGATGTAGAGCCTAGAATTATGAGCTTGGAATTAAGTAAAGAATTAAAGTGATTTGTTCTATACGAAGCGAGGTTGAGTCTAGTCCTACGCCCACAGGACCACCCTATCGATCATAGCGGGTAACAAATGATGCGACAAGTCCCCACCAAGCCACCAAAAACAAAAACCTTCCCGAAAGACCCAAAAGAAAAATCTATGTCCGTATCCGAGGTAGAGCAACCTTCATCGGAAAAAATTATTGTATGCGCATGTTATATGTCCTCTCATACTCATTGTATGCGTGTGGATCAACAATTAGATACACAAAACAAATGTGATTGTTGTATGGCTGATATTTTCTTATCCGAGGTATGAACAACCTTTGATCGGGAAAAATTATTGTATTTGCCTGTTATCTGTCCTCTCATATACTATATGTGTGCGGGTCAACAATTAGATGCACAAAATAAATGTGATTGTTGTATAGCTGATATTTTCTTATCCGCGGTATGAACAACCTTTGATCAGAACGAAAATATGAAGAATCAGAACGAAAAGCTGAAGCATATAAGTTCACCTTATTACAGATGACATTAATCAACAGAAAATGGACTGCAAGTTCAGCTCCATTATATGTTGTATGCGAATCCCTCTGCATTATAAAACCCGAAAGTTCTAGCACTGCAAAGTTCAGCGGGTGGTTTATACTTCACATTCGATGCAAGAAAAGAGCAGAAATATCAAAGCTGAAAAAGGATTCAAGCCAGATGACCAAAATTATAAGAAAATCAAGACAAAATGCAACATTCAAACAGCGAAGGGTACATGCACAAAGTAGAGGTTTAGAAAGAGAAGCATCTTTGCAAATTAATGATGAAAGTAATGGCTGACACGAGTAGGGCATACCAGATTTTGGCCTATCCCAGTACCGAAGCATCAGTCTAGATCCTTCACAGATTGATAACCCTATTCCTCGGGGTAGGGGCCTTCACCTCACAGTGGTCACACCTGCAGGATCAATAAGTCTCATAACTTCAGTACAGCTGCAACTTGCAGTACAAACTAGCCTTCTCTTTCACTATTTCAAAATCGATGGTGACTTTGTTCTTAACCATTGTTCATACATTCTTTGAGTTTTCCGTTATCCATTGTTTATTATACTTTATACAAGTAAAAATGATTACTACCCTAAAGACTACTACACTAACTCGAATGGGAACCTTCATATTTGTGCATTTATGTAAGCTTGAAGATTATTAGCACTAGCAGTAAAAGCGATTAACCATAAAACACCCTGAAAATGAAATGACATGGAGGCGGAATGAGCACCGCGACAAGAAATTAACCGGGAAATATAATTCTTAGAATAGGTAAAACTTAGGAACCAATGTATTGAATATTACTCAGTTGAGTTGCTTGTTTCTAGAGTTTATACTATCCCCGTCTGGTTGAACCTTCGCTCTGCAATTTTATTATTTAGAAATCTTGAAGAGCCGGAGTTTCTAACATGTCTTGATGGGGATCGCCTACAGTTCCGTTTTTCCTTTCTGGGGTGGGTGGTAGACCCCGTGAGGAAGATGAGCACAGCTTGTTTCGTTATTCACTCTTTCAAAACATATGCAGGTTAATCAGAGGGTATGATTTTGACCTCTCATTCCTCCATTATAAAGCTACCTAAGGATCGACAGTTTTTATCAACTAACTTTTTGGTTTAATGGTACTTCTCTTCCAACTGGGAAAGTGGTTTTAAGGATCTAAACCGTTTATATTTTAATTAATCATTCATAGATCATCATTGTAAAAAAGAAAAAAAAAATTAAGACATTTATTTGTAGTGAAAAAAATGGACGAATACGGTTATGCGAAGAAATAGTAAAATGACTATCATTTGATCCAACAGTTACAGGGTTTTCGGAATTGGGAGATTTTTTGTCAACATGATTTTGAAGGAAAACCTAAAAATAGACGATTATATCGTTAATATAAATTACAAAGTGAACTCTATAAAATAAATACAAAAATATGTCTCCCGATCCTACCCTTTATCCATCCAATGGATGTGAGTAACATTTGATGTTCAAGATGTCAAAATTAGCTATTTTTGTGCCCTGATTTTCTTTTTGCAGGTCCACTTTGTGTTTTGCATTTAGACTGCAATTGCTCCTACTAATGATGTGCAGTTTACAAGGTTCACTAATGGCTGCAGTTACATTGGTTATTTCGTTTAGTGAGGGAGGAGGCAGAAATACAAAATGAATAAGATATGCATCGTTCAAAATCATACTTGTCAGCCTAGCATTGCCTTAGCGGATAAGAATTTCAATACAATCGTAAAAACTTGACATGTTAGACTGCTCTGTGGTTTGATCTGGAAGTCTTCCTTTGAGTTGGTGACCCGATGAAGACTCAGACTCGGTTTCTTCATTTCAGATACTTTACTTCATTGGATTTGGGTTGTACGTATGCGAAACGCTTCTCAGTATCTGGGTTATTCAGGTTTGACGATTAACAAACTTGCATTCTTCTCTTGCCCTTAACTCTGCGTTTCTTCCCCCTCTTAGGAGAAAGGAGAAACTTTTTCTTTGTGTGTTGTATTTGCAGTGAGTATACATGTATTTCCGAAGCAGAGGAAACATGTACACAATCTTTAGTCGAAGAGAATTTGCCTTACAACCAAAGGTATGTTAACACCAACCTAAGGGTATGATTTTAAACGTTTGCTTTCCTCCAGACTAAAGCTACCTAAGGATTGACGATTTTTACCAACTCGCCCTTGTACTGGTGGTACTTCTCTTCCAAATGTTGAAGGCGGTCCCAAGTCCAATTCCTGCCTCCCTCTTGACCAAAATCTATTCTTTCTATCAATTCCACAATATTCTACTTGAAAAACGTTTTTAAGAAATACGATATTGTAGAAATACGAATAAAATGCGTTTTTTAGAAATACAATATTTTATGTCCACCTTGTATTTTTTTAGGTGAGAGTTCATGTACGATCACTTGCTCAGTTGCCCTTGAAATGAAACATAGGAAAAAAAGCCACACACCTGGGTACTGACACAGAGATCACCAATGCATCCAACATATGCCATGTAGGCCAAGGGAACCGATCAGATTCTTCTGCTCTGTCATCCCCTTGGGCCAAAAGACGTTAGGAAAAAACTCTTTCAAGGGTCTGAAACATTTTATGTCAAAGTTTCTTCAATAAATTGGATGATGCATTATACAAGGATTGCAGAATGAACACCAATTCTACATCTTTTGATGGTAAGCGATATATGATGCCATCTTTGAATTAGCTAAACAAAGTTTCTTAAAACTATAGATTTGCTAAGACTTAACTGTCAAAGAGAGTTCGGAACTTCACTCGCCTTTTGACGCTACCCTTTCGGTCATACCCAATACCGATCTTACTATGCATCAACTTCATAGCTAAATCTGCATTGCCTGCTTTCCTCAAGGCATTGATTAGAACTGTTCGGATTCGTCCTGGTATTTCCCTACCTCTGTCCACAATTCCATCGGCCAATTTGCAGGCTTCCTTTAAACGGCAAGCTTTGCACAGCACATTGATCATATCTTCAAAAGCTGTCTCAGGAATCACACCCATTGGCGCTAGCTCATCCAAAATCTTGCAGGCTCGGGCTACCTTGCCTGAGAGACAAAGCCCAATAGAGAGGGCCCTGAAGGAAGCAACATTCGGTGTGATGCCCTTATCAATCATCATGTCCCAGAGCTTCAATGCCTCTTCATTTCTGTGCTCCTTAAAAAGTCCGCTGATGAGTATTGTGTATGTATAAACCGTCTGATCACAACCTTCCTCTTCCATTTTCTTAAAGAGTGCTAATGCTTCATCAGCTTTTCCACATTTAGCCAGGGCATCGATAAGGGCATTATAGCAGTATGAATCCTGTGGACATCCCTTCACTACCATCTTTTCAAAGAGCCTTTCAGCCTCATCAAGCCTCCCTGCTTTTCCAAGACCATCGATTAGACTAGAATAAAACATAGCGTTAACTGCCATCCCCCTGCCTTCACAAAAAGCAAAGTACTCCATTGCCTCCTCCACTCTCCCACTCTTACATAATCCATTGACGATAACCCCGTAAGTGACCTCATCTGGTTCAAGCCTGTCATTTTTCATCCTCTCGAAAAGCTTCATTGCCTCCTCAATGCTCCCACATTTCACATATGAATCGATCAATGCTGTATAGTTTGCCACATTGGCTTTACATCCCTTCCGAATCATATCTTCAAATACAGCATATCCTTCCATACATTTCCCACCTTTGCAAAGCCCGTTGATCACTAAACTATACGCATGAGGTGGAATTTCAAGTCCTTTCTCTCCCATTTCTTGGTAAAGACCCAAACACGAATCAACATCTCCTTCTGAATAGCACCCCTGTATTAAAGTCATATAAGTAATCTTATCAGGTTCCACATTCCTCCCCTCCATAGCTCTGAACTTCTCCATTGCTTTCTGGGTTTTCCCTACCTTACAATACCCTTTAATCATTGTATTATAAGTCACAATGTCCGGTGCAATTTTCCCGCCTTCCATAACCTCAAAAACCCGCTCAGCGGATTCAATAAACATCGAATTCACCAAACCATTCAGTAAAAAGTTATAAGTGTACAAACTAGGCTCAATCCCATTCTCCTTCATTCGACGCCAAACCCACAACAGCTCATTAACCATTCCAAGACATCCAAAGCTTTTAATCAAAGAATTTGCCGCTGAAGAAGTCATCAAAAAGTTCATTTCTTTAAGCTTAACAAGTACACATCGAATACGGTCCAAATCACGACACACAGATAAAAGTTCAATCAAAGATACATAGCAGTCAAGCTTATGATGATACTTCTTCTGGCTACCAGCCCAAGCAAAGAACCGCAAGGCGGTTTTGGGCTTCCCACGAAGCTCAGAAGATTTCAACACATACGAAACAAAATTAGGAGACAATTTGATCAAGAATGTGCGACAGTAAGAGTCTAAATTGGCCTCCATTGTAGGAGACCCATCTAAAAGATTCACAATTTGAGCGACCCACGGAGATGGGTCAAAATTTTGTGTGTTCGATACTACATCAGAGACGTCATTGAAAGGTTCTACCCATTCGGGAGGAGGGAGAGAGTTGGTGAAAACCCACCTGGAATTTGAGCTGAAACTTGACGTACAGTGAGAATTTGAAGCTTTCGACGAAAACCCTCCATGGATGTACGGACGGGGAGGTCTTGGAGGAAGAATACGGGCTGATGAGAGTGAGAGGGGAGCTCTCAGTAGGGTTCTTCTCATCAGGGTTTTGGCTGTTCTGTTCGTCTGTGTGCTCAGTTCAGTCAAGCTGAAAGCCTGAAACGGTGAAATGGTTTATGCAGATTTTGTTTTTTTGGGTCGTATTTTTTATTGGGCTTTTTGGTTAATTTTTTATTTTCAAACTTCTACTATTCATAAAGCCCAATTGGCAACATTGCTGGGTTTTGTTTCTTGTCGTTTTTAACATTCCAAATGGATCCTCAAGAACAAAACTAATTGAACAAAAAAAAAAAAAAAAATTATCAAGTAAATGTTGTCTACATCTCAATCAAGACTATAATTTGCTAAACTATCTGCCACAAAACTCTTGTCTCTATAAACATGCCGAAGATCGCATTGCCAAGATCTTTAAAGCAACGGTTGGTTTGATATATTTGGGGTGGAATTAAATCCTCATTGGTTTTAGGAGTGAAATTTATAATTCCATGATTGTCTAGGAAAGAATATACACAACAAGTCCTAATTCTGGTAGGAAAAGATATCCTTTGTTAATCTCCTCATATCCTCCTCTATATAAATGCGAACTTTCAATCCCACATCACATTCTTCCTGCCGCTCATTAGACGATCTATCGATACTATTCTCTCTCTAACTCTATTGTGTAGTTTAGTTCCCTTTATAGTTCATCATACCGTTGCGTATGAGGTCGAGAATTTAATCTTTAATTGTTTGATTACGCAGGTACCAGGACTACTGAGAGATGTCGAGGAACAAGAGAATAATGCACTGGACTACGGAGAAGCTGCAGGCCAATAGAATGATGCAATCCACTGCCAAGATGCCGAGGAGAACAAAGAGAACGATCAGTCAATGCACTGCTACGGAGATGCCTAGTACCAAGAGGATGAGGCAGTACAAGAGCACAACGCAGTTTATGGACCTCCCCTGCGACGTCCTCCTCTCGAGACGCCCCACAAAATTACTCGTTTCTTGCCGTCGTGTTGTAAGACCTTGTGTAGCCTAGTCGTCTGCCCGTGTCTCGCTAACATGTATTCACAATATATTGCTACTACCGATGAAAAACTTGAGCCTCATCCTCGGATCATGGTTCTTACCAGGTCTAAGTTAATCACCTTACCGGTGAATTTTGGTAGTAGAGCCAAGAATGAACTTGCGTTGACATTCCGACCATCATTGGAGCTCGCCAATACAATCTCAAGTTTTCTTCTGACGGCTTGCTTTGCCTGAAGAACGAGCCAACATCATTAGAAGGAGGTGGTCAAGCCTTCCTAGTAAATCCTTTAAGAGAAGTTCTAAGGCTCCCACCAAGTAAATTCGACGAAGCTCCAAACTGCACGTACGACTGGTATGGTCTGGGATGCCAGTTCTTGTTCCCACAAGATTGTACGGGTATCTAGACCCAAATTTATGTTTTGGGCTCATCGTCAATCGTCATGGCGATAATTATCAATACGCTCAGCTCCTCCTCTTTTTTTGAAGTGCGAGAGGAGACAAATATCATTATGCACAGCCCCTCCTTTTTTGAAAGGTGCGAATTGCGTTCCTGCGTATGGAAACATACATCATGAAAGTGAGATTAACCTGTAAGTTGAGATGCACATTATTTTAAAAATTGAAAATCATGTAACCCAAGAAAATCTAAATGCAAAGAAGCAAGAATCGCCGACAGAGGTAAGTCATGCTACACTGAGGTTGAGGAAGACAAGCCATGTTACCAAAGCTGTCCACAACAACATTCTCTACCCGCTTCATGTGAGAGTAATGAAAACTCATATTCTTGATGCGAACCAGACAAGTAAACCATTTTGTACGAAGAGGCAAGGAGAAAAAATGTTTTCCAAGCGGATACAAGTAATAACATTAGAAGAATCACTTTTCAACCAAATACATACCAACCACGCTGATAAGAAAAATCAGTATAAAAAATAACTCCTATTAATTCTGCCAAGAAAAATTGTGATGACTAGTACCTCAAGAAAACTACCAAAAAAGACCATGTCCATCCCTAAAAACTCCCCACAAGCAATAATACCAAGATTCCTTTTAGCTAAGGCATTAGTATTAAGCTTAAGCCAATTAAGGATATCAGAGTGGAGATCAAAGCACATGACGAATAACGTGAACCTTAAGAGGGATGAGTTGAATACCTAAAGAATAAATAATACAATCTTCCAAACCCTTTTTTTTATTATTTTATTTTTATTTTTATTTATTTATCAGAAGATTTAATTGACATTCAGAGATGATGTAGAGAAACTGGGCCATCCTCGAAACTAAACTTATTGAATCCTTTCAAATAGTATTAACGATAAAAAATCCCACAAAAATGAAGATGAAAATGGAAAATAGAAAAACTAGTTCTGAGACAAATAACAATCCACATTTGTTGAATATTTTCTTAACTACTGGGTTAAATTTCTATGACAACACCCGTGTCTCTTATATTTACAAAAGAGATTGAAGAAAAATGTGATTCTATTTAACAATGTAATAGGGCATTTTTATGTTTGTATCCAATGAACAGTCTTTATAAGCAGTACTTTTTCTAGTGGCGACCAAGGCTCCAATTCCTTCATGATTCCAAAGCACCATTTAACAGTGGAAGCAACAACTCAAACAACTCATGTTCAATACTCCGATGCAGAACCTACCATATTGACATCAGAACGATCAAATTAACAAATACTGAGACCACCGAACTCACATATAGCATATTGCGAGATGACAAAAAGTAAAAACTCAACTAAAGCGAGACTGTAAAACACAGATAATTCATATTGAATTTTGTAATTGTTACAAACACAAATTTATTGAAAATGTCCACCAGGCTACTTCACCTCTACAATGCTGGACTATCCAACACCTCCGACAACTTCACCACTCCCTAAAGAAATCCACAACAACCTCGAGTTAATCAAAGCAAGGTATGCATGTAAGAATATAAGTATGAGTATGAGAATGTATGTTATAGCCAACTATTTGGATTCAAATTGGTGCAAAGAAGTTTATTAGAAAAAGGTTTTGAATTGTTCAAGACATAGGATTGAAACATGGTTTCCATCCTCATTTTTGCAATCATAGGTTTGATCCTGTAGAATCTGACCCATTTTATCATTGAGGGAAATTGTTGGACAAGAATTTCTTGTCAATGTTCCACTTGTATTCTACTAAAAGAGTGGATTGAACGATATATATAGTAGGCCTCTGCTCACACAAATCACATGCTTGATTTTGGACTAAGATCTATTATTAGTGCAAGCATTAAGGTTTTGTAAGAGAATGAGAAATTTTGGTATAGAAGATTGGTGGCTTCATCATCTACTGACGTCTCTGCGAGGAAAAATGCACTATTTGATGCCTTCTATAACTTTTTCTTGATTGCTTCTACATGTCAGTTTGGTTCTTTGTGTATCGAGTTGTAATTTTCATACTTGTATGATATGTGATTCATAAGCTTAACCTGTTGACTTATATTTTTTTAGGGTTTTTTTATTTTTTTTATTTTTTATTTTTTATTTTTATTTTATATCACAAATAGTTATTGAAATTGACTTACACCATCAAAATGATCCTTGAAATTGAACATCGATTAATGTAGTTTCTGAAAATATATGTCGCAAATCAATATGGTCCTTCCATCACAATTTGTTAAAAATTCTGTTAAGTGATGATGTGGCACATAAATGGACCCCACAAGATTTACGAGTTTTTATTACAAATGGTCGTCCTTGAAATTGACTCATACCTTCAAGATGGTCCCTGAAATTGAAAATCTATTAATGTAGTCTCTGAAAATAAGTGTTACAAATCAATATAGTCAATCCGCTACAATTTTGTAATTTTTTTATTATGTGTTGATGTGGGTTTAATAATTTAATAATTAATTAAAAAAGTTGTCTAACTACTTTTTAGCACAATAGAATTTTGGGAGTCTTAATTAAACACTCATAGTACTATTCACTTTTAACGTTAAATACATTTTTACTATGAAAAATCACTCCTGGTACTATTCACTTACAACAATATTTTGTCCTTTTGATTAAAACTAAAGTTTTTGAGAACTTTTTGTTAATTTTCCTTAGATTTTTATTTTTATTTTATATTTTTTATTTATAGTAGGGCCTACTCTGAAGAAAGATTCCTTCCATAAATTCTTAAAGGCACAAGGCTTAACCAAGGCCGAAGAGGGGTTTTGGAAATAATTTTCAACCAATAATAGAATAGCCTCGGTTAGAATGTTATTATCTCAAGCGAACCTTATTGTTCTCTGCGTCATCAAACCACCACGGGAGCGCCCAAAAAGCTCTCCAAAATTAAGGTTGTGAGAATGTTGATCGCCTAAATGTTAACGACGATGTCACAGAACTCATCCCCAATCCAAGCCGTCACCAAAGATGATCATGATCCAGGTCCAATTCGGTGAAGCATGTTGAAGTGTGTAAAGATGGATTTATTGAGATTTTTTTTCCTTCTAGAGAGTAGACAACGACGGCTACCATAGATGGAGGGTAGAGGAAGACTTGTGTGATCTATTTATATGTCACATCATCATATAATAAATTTTTTGACAAAATTATGATGGAAAAACTATATTGATTTGAGACACTTACTTGTGGGACTATATTGGTCAATTTTTAATTTCAAGAACCATTTTGATGGTGTGGGTCAATTTTAAGAACCATTTTGATGTCGCGGGTCAATTTCAATGATCATTTGTGATTAAAAAACAAAATGACGCATGGGCCCATTTATGTGCCATATCTGCAATTAACTGATGTGAAAACGTAACAATGGATTTAGTGTCCTACTAATACTGGCCTTTATCGTATTTTATCCATAGATTGACTAAGTTCATAAAAAAAGATAACGAAGACAAAATGAATAAAGGAAAATTATTACAAATAAGTCATTTGAATGATGAACATATATATGCGTTCACTTATATAAAAATTTTAACAAAAATGTGATTGAAGGACAACATTAATTTGCGGCACTTATTTTCAAGGACTATATTGATTGATTTTCAATTTTAGGGACCATCTTGATGATGAAAGTTAATTTCAAACACTATTTATGATAAAAACCC